AAAATTGCCCAATATTTCATGAATACTCTCTCTCCTCACATGCCAAACTTGACATTTCTCTTCGTGTTTTTTTTCAGTTTTTTTCTCAGGAACACTTTACTTTTTTCATATGTATTTGAGCTAGGAAATTTTTTTTCAAAACCAAGCATTATTTTCTAGAAAATATCGATCAATTTGAGATCAAACTCGATGAAAATTATACCATTCGAACTAACTCGTCGAGGCGCTTCGAATGAGTATAATCATGACTAGGTTCTGAGAAATTTTTATTTTTCGGGTCCCGACGCGAAAACATGAAAACTACTGTAACTTGGTCAATTTTCGGTCAAACTCAAGGAAAATTGTACAATTCCAATCAGCTCGTTAAGACGGTGAGTATAATCACGACTAGGTTTCGATATTTTTCTTCTTTTTGGGTCTTGCCACGAATTCGTGTTTTCGTGTCGAGACCCCATAAATGAAAAGTTTTCAGAACCTAGTCATGATTATACTTATTCAAACCGACACAACCAGCTGATTCGAATGATGTAACTTTCATTGAGTTTGGCCAAGAATTGACCAAGATACGGTTGTTTTTGTGTTTTCGTGGTGGGACCCGAAAAAATAAAAATTTGTCAGAACCTAGTCATGATTATACTCATTCAAACTGTCCTAATGAGCTGATTCGAATGGTGAAATTTTCATCGAGTTTGGCCTTAATCTGACCAAGATACGGTAGTTTTTCTATTTTCGTGGCGAGACCCAAAAAAAAATTTCAGAACCTAGTCATGATTATACTCATTTGAACCGTCTCGAAATGCTGATTCAAGTGGCATAGTTTTCATTAAGTTAGGCCCAAAGTTGGCCGAGATATGCTAGTTTTTCTGTTGTCGTGGTGGGACCCAAAAAAATCAAAAATTGTCAAAACCTAGTCATGATTATACTCATTCGAATCGACTCGAAAAGCTGATTCAAACGGTATAATTCTCATTGAGCTCGGCCTAAAACTGGCCGAGTTATAGTAGTTTTTGTGTTTTCGTGGTGGGAACTAATAGCTAACTTGGCATTTCCAGTGTTTTTTTTTCTTTTTTCTCAGGAACACTTCACTATTTTTTATCCGAGCTCTATTTCCAATCATTAAGACAAGAGAAGACGTGACAATTCTAGGCGCGTCTCCTAGAATTTGAATTGCTAATTTCTCGTTCTCAGTGACGTCTCCTTCTCAAAAGTTTCTTGCTCTCTTCCCCTCTCTCCCCAAGAAAATCATTATTCATCTTTGCAGAACATCTTCTCCAAAGGATCCCTTCCAGTCCCCGAAAATGGTCAATGAGATCTCGTTCAACTGTGAGGATGCCTGGTTGAACCTCTTCGTCGGTGGGGAAATTCATCCGGTTCAAGTGAAAACTCTCATGAATCCGGCCACTTGTGGAACATTCTTTCGGGATGTTGTTAAGGTTTCCGATGCCGCCATCAAAGTTAGAGGGGTTCAATGGGAGACCTCAACTAATCATATCAAGTATCGAGTCGATATTGATAGGGATGGACTGCTTTTTCGACATGTAAGTACTGTAGTTTTGGGTTGAACTCGATGAAATCTATACCATTAAAATCAGCTCGTCGAGGCGGTTCGAATGAGTATAATCATGACTAGGTTCTGAGAATTTTTGATTTTTTGGGTCCCACCACGAAAACACAAAAACCACCGTAACTCGGTCAGTTTCGGGTCAAACTCAATGAAAATCATATCATTCGACTCAGCTCGTCAAGACGGTTCGAATGAGTATAACCATGACCAGGTTCTAACAATTTTCGAATTTCCGGGTCTCGCCACGAAAGTACAAATCCGTTTCTCGGACGAAAAAAAAATCAAAGCTACAGTACATGCTTATACTCATTCGAAGCGTCTCGACGAGCTGAATCGAATGGTAAATTTTTCATCGCGCTCTACATAAAATGAGTTGAGATACGGTAGTTTTTGTGTTTTCGTGATGAGACCCGAAATTTGAAAAGTTATCAGAATCTAGTCATGATTATACTCATTCGAAGCGTCTTGAAAAGCTGAACATGAAAATATAAATTTGAAGGCTGTAAAAAACGAGTTTCGATGGTTTAAAATTCTAAAAAACCGCAAAAACCTTCAATTTTCAACCAATTTTTTCAAATTTCTAGAATAAAAAAATCTGTTCATCCGGATATCCATCTCTATTTTTTCAGGTCCTTCAATACCTTCGAAACGGAAAACAAACGAGTCTGCCGGATGACACGTTCACTTTGGAGGCCCTAATCTGTGAGGCTGACTTCTTTGGACTGGAGAAATATCGAGAGATGTTGAAGAAGAAATTATGGAAGTTGACTGGAAAACGACAGTATTATGCATGCTATGAGGACTCGGATTGATAAGAAATTGAAGATAAATTTAGAGAAAAAAATAGAAATGAATGTATTGTACTCGACTGATCTATGATAAATTGAATATTTGATTGAATGTCCCGGAGGAATAAAAATTTTTTTTTAGAAATTTGTTGGTTTTCTAGGCCATCGTTTGGAATTCTAGGCCAGTTTCTTTTCTGTACCTATCAAGAGGGCCATGATACACAGTGAACTTTTTGTACGTGTTTCGAAAAAGTTCCATTCGCGGGCTCTGTCTTACTGTAGGGTCGCGTGCCAACTGCGTGGCGACTCAGCGATACGTAGGCATTTTTCTCATTTTGTTAAAAAATTAAAAATCAGGGCCTAAGCATTTTTTGAATTAAATTGAATAAAACTTTTTCTTTGCATCATGTTGAATATAATATTGACAGAATTTGATCGAAAGTTATTACTGAAAAGTGCTCTGAAAACATGGTGCGCGCTCCTTCGGCTTACTGTCACACTTTAAAGACCACCGAAATGATTTTTCAGAAAAGTACCCACAACCCCTGATTCTGAGACATTTCAATTTTGACCTTAAAGGCGCATACACCTAGAAGCACTCGTAAATCACTCAGCTTCAGGCCAAAATCAATGAAAAATATACCATTCGATTCAGCTGTTCAAGACGGTTCGAATGAGTATAACCATGACTAGTTTCTGAAAAAAATTTTGAGATTTTGGGTCTCGAAGCGAAAACACAAAATCTAACGCATCTCAGTCAGTTTTTGATCGAACTCAATGGAAACACAACCATTCAAATCAGCTCGCCAAGACGGTTCGAATAATTATAGTCACGATAAGTCAATGAGGGGATAGATAACATCATGGTATGCCTCAATTAACACAGTTTGAGTGGCAAGGACTGCCACCTTTTTCTTTGTCCACTTGGTATTAGCACTTCGATAAGATTGGTCGGTTTTAAAATAGGGGTTTCTCAAGACCTCCAATACCCAAAACATGTTTGATAGTTCGTTTTTATGGCAATCATTGCTTCGGAAAGTCATTGATGATACGGTACATTTTAGGCTTTCGTGGCGGGACCCAAAAAATTGAAAAATTTTCAGGATGCAGCCTTGTTTATACTTTTTTGAACCGAAACGACTCGCTGATTTGAATGGTATAATTTATATTGAGTTTGGTCAAAAACTGATTGAGATACGGTAGATTTTGTGCTTTCGTGGCGAGACCCAAAAAAATAAAATTCTTTTAGAATATAGTCATGATTGTACTCATTCAAACTGCCTTGCTAAGCTGATTCGAATGATATAATTTCCATTGATTTTGGCCTAAAACTGACCGAGATACGGTACATTTTATGCTTTCGTGACGGGACCCAAAAAATAAAAATTTCTCAGAACCTGGTAATGATTATACTCTTTTTAACCGTCTTGACAAGCTTATTCGATTGGTATAAGTTTCGTTGAGTTTGGCCTGAAATCCCAAAATCTAAGATTTCTACCTAATCTTGCATTGGAGCGCGTTTGCGTTGCCCCCACCTCGTCCCTCTTGGGAAGGAAATCGCGGGTTTTCCACCTGGCACCGTGCCAGGTAGAAAACCCGCGAAAACGGGGGAGATATGCATCTGTGTGGACTCCACGTTGCGTCTCCTTTGGGGGCCCGTCCGCATTATGTCTTATCGACCCACTCTCCCTTTTCCTCCTTCGTATTTTTTGGTCCCATGGCTTTAGAGCGTTAGATCTTGGCCCCCTTGATAGGTACGGAAAAGTTGTCAACTAACAAAATGTGTAGAATTTTATTTTGAGCAATTTGTTAGTTGACAACTTTTTTGTATCTTTTTTTCCTAATCAAGATATAACGCGCTGAACCTAGATTGATAGTAGAGCGCGCTTGCTTTAAAGCTTCATATCTCGGTTGTGGATAGAGTTAGAAAAAAGGTGTCAACTGACAAAATGGTTAAAATTTTATTCTGAGCAAGTCACTAGTTTATAAATTTTCCCTATCTCTATTCTCTGCAGAGTTATGCGCCTTTAAGATTACGCACTCAAAAAAACCTGCGCATCTGCTGCCTCAAAACTTCAAAGGCGCATATCTCAATAGGGAAAAGAGCTATCAAAAAGTTGTCAACTAGTAAAATGTGTAAAATTTTATTGTAAGCAACTTCCTAGTTTACAAATTTTTTCTATCTCTGCACCTAACCGAGTTGTGGCTCTTTAAACGTTTTGAGCAGCTTGGGGCGGGTTCTAGAGCAGAGTTTATGGCAATTTATTCAGTTTGGGAGGCATTTTTGGTCATTTTTAGGTAATTTTTGCATGTTCTAAGTAGTTTTGAGAGGGTTTTTTGTCCTTTCTTTCTGAATACGTTCTGTACTCTTTCCTACCTATTATGAGAGGGCCTCTTGCCATCTCAGATTTTATCCTCACCATCTGCCACGTCGTTTCTCTCTTTTCTCTCTCTCTCTCTCTCTCTCTCTCTTTCTCTATTAAGACTCGCTTAATGCCACCTGCCCTGTACTAATTGGGGTCTGGGAAAGGACCCCAATGTACCTTCATACCCGCCCAGACCCTCGGACCCTTCCCTCTCCCCTCCCCCCCCCTCCTCGCCAAAACGCGCGGTCTCCTCTACGCCCTCCTCCTCCCTTCTCTGCGTTGCAATGCGTGGCCTAGCGGTTAGCGCTCTTGTTTTTGAATCTCGGGTCACGGGTTCGACCCCCACCGGGGTCAAATCTTTTTTTCTTTCACCTCAATGACTTCTAGATGATCACCAAGTTCTCAGTGGGCCAAGATGTGATTTCTACTCACAAGGGAGTCGAACACCCAGCCAAAATCATCTACATCCGCATATACGAAGGACGAATGCAGTATCGTATCGTTCATTACCGGCAGCATAGAGATTATAAGTGGGTGCCAGTTGGCGAGGAGGACGGGAACATCCGGGAGATGACTCTGGAGGATAAGCTCAAATATTTGAAAATCGGAGAGAAATCCCCCTACAAACGGGAGGAGCCGGTGGAAAAGGAGGAGGACGGTCCCAAGAAGGTAGGGGTTCACGGAGTTTTTATGAAAATATACCTGTTTTTTTCCAGAAAATGCTCCGATTTGAGTTTCCGGTTGCAAAAGTTGAGGAAAGTCCGGTAGAGGCCAGTCCGGCTCCGGTGGCCACTCAGGTAATATTTTGGTTTTTTTAGAGCGCGATATCTCGATTAGGAGTTGAGATAGAAAAAAGTGGTCAACTATTGAATTGCTCAGAATAAAATTTGGAGCATTTTATTAGTTGACAACTTTTTTTTAGCTGTTACAGGAGCTGAGATATGGAGCTCCAAACTCTAAGTCTCTTAGGGATAGCAGTAGGGCGCACTTGCTTTGGAGCTCCATATTTCAATTAGGAGTAGAGATAGAGAAAAGTTGTCAACTAATGAATTGCTCAAAATAAAATTTTGCACCTTTTATTAGTTGACAACTTTTTTCTATCTCCATCCACAACCAAGATATAATCCCCCAAAGCTCCAAGAGCAACCGCGCCCCATTGAGAACCCATTTTTCAGCCAAAAAAACTCGAATACTCAGCCGGTGAGCCGGTGATTTCACTTTTCGAAGGCAAGGAATACATAGCATTCATTTTTTGTGTCGCCCAAATCGACGAAAAATATCACTATTGGCTTCGTCACTACGAAAAAAGGGCAGATGGAAAACGACAGATTAGGATGATTACAGTTGGAGTGGATGATCACTTAAAAGTCAAGAAGATGCCCGGACTGGAGTGGAAAAGAGTTGGTTTTTACAGATTGCGTAAATATTGATTTTCAGCCGAGTTATGCTGAAATTTCTCGAATTTTTTTGGTGGCCTAACTTTTTTGCATTTCGATTTTCTAGGCCATCATTACAAATTTTGTTGCATTCTGCCAATGACTTGTCGATCACTTTCCACTTTACAGAATTCGAAAATATTTATTTTCAGCCGAGTTATGCTGAAATTTCCGCTATTACTCAGAATAAAAATTTCCAGTTTTTCGACTATAACTCGGCTTAAAATCAAAAATTCGGCCTAGTTTTTCCACCAAACTCTAGAGAATTTAAAGGCGCATCTGGTCATATGAAATTTAATGAATAACAAGGAAAACAAATTAGGTGGCCTAACTTTCTCACAATTTGGTTTCCTAGGCCACCATTTCAAATTTTAGTGCATTTTGTTCCCAATCCAATGCCAATCACTTTCCACTTTACAGAATTCAAAAATATTGATTGTCAGCCGAGTTATGCTCAATTTTCTGAAATTGCTCAGAATAAAAATTTCCAGTATTTCGACTATAACTCGGCTCAAAATCAAGATTTCCACTTGGTTTTTTGACCAATTTGTGGCAAATTTGAAGGCACATCATTTCCAGATCTTCCACAAATACGAAGTTGGCGAAAAAGTGCTGACTAATTTCGATGGAGTGAAGCATATCGGATACATCTCCGCAGCCAATTCTTATACCGGCAATTACTCGATTCGCCGTGATTTGTGTGGTGAAGAAGTGAAGAATTTTATACCAGTTGGACAAATCGACGACGTGATTCAAAAGTGGCCTTCGGGTGGCCATAGATAATTTTTTTTTGTTTGTTTGTCTGTCTGTCTGTCTTTCTGTCTGCCTGTCTGTATGTCTGCTTGTCCGTCTGTCTGTCTGTTTTTCCGTCTGTGAGTTTGTCTGTCCATCTATCTGTCTGGATGTTTGTCTGTCCATTGCCTATCGACAAACCGACAAACCGACAGACCGACAGACAAACGGATAGACTTCCTGGCTTTTTGTCTGTTTGTCTGTTCATCTGTCCATCTGTCCGTCCATATCACTGTCTGTCCATATCTCTGTCTGTCTGTATATCCGTCTACCTTCCCACCTCTACTATAGGAGCAAACGCGCCCCACTGATAGCTCTGAAATTTCTCAATGGAGCGCATTTTCTCCTTCTTTTCACTCTGTGATTTTTTTTTTCAAATTTTTCTGTGAAACCCTTTTTGTTGTGGTAATAATTTCTAAATAAATATGTGATATGGATAGTCTTGGTTTTTTTTCGGGGCCTAGAAACAAAAATTTCTTGGTGGCCTAACTTTCTCACAATTTGGTTTTCTAGGCCGCCATCTCAATTTTAAATACATTCTGCGGCTCTGTTCGAGAATGGAGGGCCCAAAGATAAAATGGAGGGCCAATGAAAAAAATGGAGGGCCCAAAAAATAAAATGGAGGGCCCAAAAAATAAAATCGAGGGCCCAAAAAATAAAATCGAGGGCCCAAAAAATAAAATCGAGGGCCCAAAAATAAAAATGGAGGGCCCAAAAATAAAAATGGAGGGCCCAAAAATAAAAATGGAGGGCCCAAAAATAAAAATGGAGGGCCCAAAAATAAAAATCAAGGGCCCAAAAATTTTAAGACTTGGGGTCAAAAAAAAACTTTTTTTCAAACACTTCACTTTATTTTTATTTCGTTGAAGACTGCAATAAGAGTATCACAATGTATCAACAAAAGAGCTAAAAAAAAATATTCTCATATATTTCACTTTGAGAAAAGGCTAAGTTTTTTTTTTTAGCTGAAGTAAATCATCCAAATACCAAACTGTGTTGTGCGAAGTTGAGAACACGGATTTGTCAGATGAGCCACATAAAACCTAAGCTTGTTTCAGAGACGGGTTTCAAGTTCTGTCACTTGAAGAGTGTGTTTCCTAAGCCTTGCTTTTATAATGGTATTTTTCGCTTTCAAATTACGAATTAAAAATTGAATGTTAAAGGAGGGAGGAACTCAAAAAAAAAAATTTCTCTGAAAATTTGACAGTAGATACTTCTGGTGGGTTTGAACTCACGGTCCATTTGGCTGACAACCAAAAGCGTTACCGGCTGCGCTATGCGG